CGCGTCTATGTGTCTGGCAAACTCAAAAACCAATCCATCTGTGAGGTTTCAATATGCAGCTATCCCCACTCAGCGCGTCTATGTGTCTGGCAAAAACCAATGCATCTGTGAGGTTTCAGTATGCAGCTATCCTCACTCCACACAAATATTTGTCCGGCAATCTCCATCACAAATCACCTGTGAGGATCAGTATGTGTCTAACCTCATTCAACGCGTCTGTGAGTCCGGCACTCCAACATCACTCAACTCGTGCGGTTTCAGTATGCAGCTATCCCCACTCAACCCGTCCATGTGTCTGGCAATCTCAAACCTCACTCAACCCTTGGGGTTTCAGTATGCAGCTATAATCACTCNTACTCATGGTCGTGCATGCCGTGGTCGTTAGACATTTGACCTCGCATCCCTACAAAGCCGGGACGGAGCACGCCGGGGTCTCACCGGACCAGGCTCTCACATCACCAAGCGCAAAGCGCCGTGAGATATTTGGGGAGTCGCATGAAGGGTGCGCTGCATCCTGCTAAGGGTGTTCGGTATCTTGTGCTTACTTCCTTGCGTACGGATGACAGCTGGGTATGAATTCATATATTTTCTGGTGCTTTCACTTCCAGAGACAGTTNACACGTCTAGACTATGTGTCCGGTAATCTCCTACATCACTCAACCTGTGAAGTTTCCGTAAGCTATCCTCACNTCCTTGCGTACGGATGACAGCTGGGTATGAATTCATATATTTTCTGGTGCTTTCACTTCCAGAGACAGTTGCACTGTGTAGCTGCCTCGAGGGTGCTTGACCTTTTTAACACAACGTGGTGCGATCATCCCCCTTGCGCGGAGTGAGGGTTCTCCACCCCGCACAACATGATCTACTCGACCACCATCATGGTTACCGCCAAAATAAAAACAGAGGTAAAAAAAAAAACGGTAACCTGGTTGCCGAGTTCACGAAGTGAATTGGCTTGCTTTACAACGTCGTTGCCAAGCGACGAAAACCCAATCCCCATGGCAAACACCGGGGGGAGGGCGCACTCTTATGTTTTGCATGCCTTAGCGGTTGGACCAATGACCACGCGTCCTCGAGAGGACGGAGCATTGTTCCCACTGGACCGATCACCGATGGCCAATCGTTCCTTTCTACTTTGCCAAAGGTGGTTCAAAATTGTCTTCCCTAGTCTGTCTATCCTAACGATATCTCTTCCCGCCTTTTCAACCCACCGCTTATGCCCCAGTACAGCTACCGTCCTTTCCTCTCTATTCCATGCCTCAAACATCTCCCTGTACGTTCTATCTACTTTTCCCAGCTCAGTCACGTACACTCCCCTCTCCTTCTTGTACAACGGACATTCCGCGATTACATGAACACGGTCTTCGCCTTCGAAGCCCCAATCACATTTGAACTCGTCGTCGTCGTTTTCTACCGTTCTATGTCCTCGTCGACGTTCTCGAAGGGCTATGTCCCCTGTCCTGAATTTGACCTTAAGCTTTGTTCCTGCATCCATTGGTCCATGTTGGTAGTCCTTGAACCCTATTCCTTCCTTCAACATTCCGTACACTTCTAGACCCTCCTTATCCTTGGATACTTTCCTCAGATTCTGTTCTTCTCTCTCG